GATAGCGGGCGGTGGAACGAGAACCGGATTGAGAGCCCCTCTCTCTTCTATAGGGAAAACGGGCAAAAGGGGGAGGGGTTTGGTGAAAGGAAAATAAAAGAAAAAAGAAAAAAAGAGAGATAAAAAGAAAAAGACGAAGAAGGGAACAAAAAACGTAAGCACACACGGTAGGTCAGCCTTGGTTGTCGGCGGTTGGCGAATTGGTCGGGTTGCCATGGAGAACGCCGGGGTATTCCCTGGATTCGGGCCCGCCCCAACGGGAAACCTCCATTCGGGAAATTCGTGGCGTCGCCGAAGCTGCCGCGGTGCCGGAGGTTTAGCTCGGCTCGGCTAATCGATTCTGCTACCAATCAGCGCCCGCGCTGTTCCTCCTCGTCCTCGTCCTCATCCTCCTTCTCCTTCTCCTTCACTACACGCCACTCTCTCTCGATTTCTCGCTCTCGACCCGCGCTCGAACTTCTCCATACCACACCACCTCCTCACTCCCCCACCACTCCTCACCGATGAACCCTTGTTTCCACCATCGCCGTGCTCCACCTACGTGTGTCCTTCACGCTACCACTTTACCTATAAGCAGCCCAACCGTCTGATCCTCTGTGTACGGTTATTATAGTCGGTGAGAAGTTGGATCTTGATAGAGGCGAGGCCTGAGTGCCAGCCAATCGACGCTTTAACCCCTTTCTTCGGCTTTCTCTCTTCTTTAAGGTGAAATACGCCGCTCAAAGGGTATCTGTATAGCAGGGTTTGAGAACAGAGGGTTATGAGTGATTGAGAAGCGGTTAGACCTTTGGTTTTCGTTTTATCGTTGAGGGAGGTGGTAGGTAGGGAAATGATTGGGTGGAGTTCACGTGTTGTATTCGAGGTGTTTTGAAATGGATTGGATAGTATTTGATGGAAGGCTTGTTGTTATATTGTGCTTTTTAGTTGAGAATTCGAACAAAATTTTAATTTGAATTTAAAGAGACTGTTATGAGTCGTTTGATATGATTGGTAAACGATTTTTTAAGTACGTTATTTTTTTTATGGGTTTGAGATTCGAGGTGGGGTTCGTATTTTAACGTAACAATTTGAACGGTAGATTTGTTTTATAAATATGATCAAATACTAACATATTACATATGGATGAAAATTTCCAAATATTTAATAATATTAACAGTACTTACCTGCGTTTGCACGTGAAGAACGGGATCGATGTAAAATAATTCCCGCGTGAATTGGAATAAGAAACTCTCACCGCTTTCTACAAGTAATTTATACTTCTACGAAAGAACCATAGTTATTTCCAATTACCGTGTATTTAAACATAATTTGCTAACTTTCTTTATATTCTTTATAAGCTCTAAATATATATGTAGATATATACGTATTATAATTTTAGAAAACTATTTCATTTTTAAAGATACGTGAGGGCGGTAAAGTCTGTACTCCTAGGGATAACATTGCAATACCAAATATTCCTAGCTGAACGAAACTCTAAAATTGCTTTCCTAGATATTAGAACCTTTCGTATTAGAGATTGATCACCATGAGACTGATATAGAGTTTTGAATTTTCACAATAAAAATTTTTCACACCTTGAAAAAGCGCGAAAAAGAGTTACAGTTGTTGATGACTCATCAGTTAACATGATAGATAAGAATGACTTTAGGAACGTTTTCTTATAAAAAGAAATGTGAATTTGTATACAAATATTGGAGAGAGCTTGTTCCAGATTGACTACAAATAAACTGCGCATAAAGAACCTTGAACTATCATTGATACTCTACAGAGCAACCAGAATGAGTTCGAAACATTTGACTACTGGTAAGATTATATTGCTCGAATACGTGTATTATACGATTATATTGCTGGTATGGTATTAGCCTATATTATAAAATAATACTTTTTATTCTATTGTTCTCCAGGATCGGTTGCCCCGCCCATTGTACCTGGAAAAATACGCTTATATAGCATGCGATTTTGTCCGTATGCGCAAAGAATTCACCTGGTACTTGATGCTAAAGATACCCCGTAAGAAAATTAACTCTCCACGATTATAGTTTAATTAAGTTTTACAGTTGTCTTATATTGTTTTATGCTGCCAATATTCTTTGTCAAATCTAAGTAGAACAGTTGTTTAATTTGCATGCTCAATGTATTGCATCATTTGTATTTTTAGTTTGTTCTTATACATTCAAGAGCTATTTTTTATTTATTTTTTAATAATATTAGAATCTTTAATATCTATCTACTATTACAAGATATTCTATGGTTACAGGCATGATGTTGTTTATGTAAATTTAACCCATAAGCCTGATTGGTTTTTGGAGAAAAATCCTCTAGGCAAAGTTCCTTGTATAGAATTAGAGAATGGAGAAACATTGCATGAAAGCCTTGTAATTGCTGAATACCTGGATGATATACATCCACAAAATAAACTTTACTCTAAGGATCCCTTAACAAGGGCTAAAGATAAGTTGTTGATCAGCAGATTTAATAATTTTATAACTACTATGTATAAGGTATACTTATTTTTTATATATACATTGTACCTATGAAATACAAGTGTTGAGAACTTATATTTGAAATGTAAACACTTCTATTTTAGTTATATATCAGCACATCCATAGACCGTAATGTATTTGAGGAAGCATTATTAGAATTAGAAATTTTTGAAAGAGAACTTGCATCAAGGGGAACACCATTCTTTAATGGCAGCTCTCCTGGTATGTTAGACTTTATGATATGGCCCTGGTGGGAAAGGTCCGATGTAATTAAAATTCTACGCGGAGAACAATTTTCTATACCTCGCGATAGATTCAAAAGACTGGTAAATTAATTTTTTTAATTAGTTTAATATAAAATCGTTTTGTATAAGTTGAAGTATATAAATAATAGACTTTTATAAATCCGTTATTTACAATTCCAGATGGAGTGGAGATCCGCTATGAAAGAAAATCCAGTTGTTCAACGCAGTTACTTAGATACCGAAGTACATGCTAAATACGTCCGAAGTCATCGTGCTGGTGCACCAGAATACGATTTGATTACTGGTTAAATTAATCAATTTGAACATATCTTCCCATATGTTTATAAAATTGATATAAAATATTATATTTAAAGCATCACATTGTTTGTAACAAGACTAATATATATAAAACTTAACTTTTTACAGTCTTTATATAATGGTCATGACAACAATTTTATGTTATGAAATGTTTACTTGTGTAATATAAATAAAAAGAGTAAATGCCTATATGTTTATATCAGTGTGTCTCTGAAATACCTCTTTAGTATTAAAATTTATATTGTAGTAAAGATTTTTTCCATAGCAGTCGCTGAATGTAAAATTACAAACAAATAACACTAAGATCTTAATATAAATATTGAATAAATGCCTATAATTATATTAATATAGCATTCCTTAAAGTATGTACCATTCAAGAATATTAAATTATTTTTCCATAAATCATAAAATATAACCCATAGAGCAGAAAACATGCAAAAGCCAAGCTTGCTGCTACCATGAATGATTTTGTATTTTGTTTTCTTAAACGTTTTAGTTTTTCTTCATTTTTTTTAAGTACTTCCTTAATTTCCTCTAATTTTGTTTCCAATTCTTCACGACTTTCCATTGTAAGCAATTTTGTTTTGAGCTTTTTTTCGAGTACATCAAGTTTGTGCATAGATTCTGCTAACGTGTCCTCTACTTTCTGGATCTAAGGTGTGTCAAATTTTTAAATATAGGTTAAGATAAGATAAAAACAAACTCAAACAGAAAATATATAAAATTATTACTCTTATGTGTACCTTTGTCATAATTGTCTCTTCTTGCGTCATGGTGTGTGTAAATATATATACTTTTATGTTATATTAAAAATAAAATCTGAATAACATTTCAACTAAATGATTTGACGTTTCAGAATGTCACGTACACGTGTTCTTCGGCTATTTTGTCCAATTCAAAATGGCGGTACGACCGATGCTTTCAAGAGCACAGCAGGTGGTTAAAAGCAAATTCACGCAATTTTTTGTAAATGATTTTGGATAATGCGGTAAATTGGACAATGTTGCATTATTGATTAAATATTAAAGTATTCATGTAGAAACACTAATGAAGCTGTATTCATTTTACACACAGGCTTCATAACGTGATACCTACTCCTATGATGACATTGTTATATAATGTCAAGAAAATGGTACTAATTTTTGGTACTACAAGTATGAGAGGAAAATCACGGTAATTAATATTAACACCTTTTGATATGAATTGTGAATTTAATCTTTATAAGATTGAAGTTATGAATTTTATTATAGCTTTACAAAATTATATTTGTCATAAAATTATATGTATATGTATATATATTTATATATATATATATATTAAATTTACTTTTCATGAGAGAATTTATAACATAAAACTAAAACACTTCACAATTATATATAGATATAAACGGTGAAGTTTAACAATATATGTACATCTTATGAGTAAATGTCGATATAATGATCCTTATCGTTAAGCATGAAGCGAAACATGACATAAATATAAGGATTAGAGATTAAAAGTGCTAATGAATTATATAAGTACTACTTAAAAAATGATTTAATTTGTAGTGCACGTCATATTATACATAGAACACAAGTCTTTTTGCAGTTTCACTCGTCATCTCATACATTCATTGTATTTATAGAAGTTTCTGTTAACTTAAATAAAAGTACCCCACGTTTTCACTTAGTTTTTCTTTCACATATAGATAAAATTAAATCTGCAACATAAAATGGAATAATTTGAAAAAGTGATTGAGCATATTCAGTTCAATTAATAATGTACTATATATTACTCACCTGCAAAGTGATTGTGGTAGAGAGGAAATAATAGGTCCATATCCTTGTGAATTATCATACAGTTCAAACAATGGTGCAGCTACTAATTTATAATTTTTAGGTACTGCAAATAGAGCTAAAGAAAAAGAAAAACAGAAAATGAATTATATCTGTGGAGAATATTTATTTTGATAAATAAAAAGATATATATTACCTTTCTCTTGCAATTGAACAAGGAACAACCTTTTATGTTCCTTTGGTTTGGTAATATGTGGCGGTACATAAGGATACTGAGGTGGTTCGAAATTCGGTCTCCACCAGTTTCCAATGGTATCTTCTATCACCCACTCCTGTTTAACTCCGTCTTGACGTCCAAAAGTCTAAAAGTTAGTTCAGCATTATACTACTTGCCGTTTAAAGTCTGCTACATTTCATAAACATTAAAATACAGTCTTCTTCGTTCAGTCCACTAAGAACATGGTTACACAATTTTTTTTATATGTTTAAAACGGCTGTATAATCGTATTAGTTCGGGTAACAATTAACCTGATCAATGTTTTCGTGATATGTTCCTGTTAGCTTCTGTATAATTAGTAACACGGGCCAAAAGTATTTATTCAAATACTTTTAGCTTCATTTGCTTACAGATACCTAATTAAATGAAACAGCTGTTGTACATACATTTATCATTTTAATCAGAAACTTGACAAATGCATAAATATAAAATCTGAAAGTGCCTATTATTCATAATGAAGAAATACCACAGTCCTGCATGTTTTAATTATTTTCTAGTAAAAAGTTCTAGAACTAAATGTTATTTAATACAATTTTTTCTGCTGTCTTTTCAATGAATCACAAGAAAAGTTAATAGCGACATATACAATACAGTCTTCTTGTTGTAATATTACAATCTTCACGTCTTGCCTCTTTCATGTCTGAGTTAACATATATAGCGAGCGACACAAGAACAATGTTCTTAGCTAACCATGATATATATAATGTAACAAGTTATAATTGTATTACTATGAACATTGAAATGTCCGGGCATGCAGCACACTAAAAATGTAAATCCTAATATAATAAATTAGAAACTCCCTATTTTGAGCTACAGGCCCGGTTACATAAGTTCTACAAATTTCTGTAGGATTTATACAATCGATTCTTAGACAGTGTTACAATCTAACATATCAAAGTGCCACTCCTAGCTACCTCGTAAGGTAGCATAAGGCGTCGTGCTAACTGTTACCTCTGTAAGGAGCCGTTTTAGGCCCTCTACCTCGTCTTCTCCTGCATTTAGTTCTCCTCCCGGCCTACGAAATAAAAAAATATAAAAGTATTTTTATATACTAAAATGAATCTTAACAAATTTTTCTATAGCAGAAAAACAAAATTTAGCCCTTACAGTTTGAAGAATGTTGTTCCCAATTGAAGGAGGAGGACGTGCGGTAATCCGTGTTCGTGTACCAATAAAACCCCTTCAACACTACGGCGCATTCCAATTTTGTCAAATTCATCTCGCATACGCTGAAACCTTGCTGGTACAGATGGATCTTTCTCGAAGAGTGGCTCTTTTGTTCCAAATGTATAGTTTGTCAAAGGATATCTATGATAAATGAGTTTTATTTTTGTGTTAGGTTCTTACTTTTTATGCAATCCTTCAGTAACTAAATCCAGTCTCTTCAACATCATTTTCACAAATAATATTACAATATATAATCATAAAGATTATACAGGGTACTCACAATGCACTAGATAGTTTGAGCATGTAATATTGTTCCCAGTAACCTTATATTAAACTTTCACATTTTATACAAAACAGAAAATATCATTTTTCATGCAAGCAAGAAGAATAACATACAGATTTATAATATAAAAAAAGATACCATGTAACAAGTTAAATTTCTGTTTCAATACTAAATTTCTATATGAAGACCACATGTGTCATGGTTGCTTAGTATTAAGTATGAAATACAAAGTATCAATTATAATTGGTATACACAAAGCATTATTATTTACTTATAACATTACATTTCACATTAGTTATAAATTGTTTTTGTCAAATGTAGTTATATAGTGGTGTTTAAAAGTACATAATACATATATTTATGCTACTCTTATATCTTTACTATCACATGTATAATGTGATTTATAGTTTGTATGCTAATAGATTTTAATAACTTTTTAATACAAGTATTTTCAAAATTTTCTGACATTTTTAAATGCTACATAATCACAAAAGTATCAAAATGTTAAAATAATAAAATATGAATAATTCATTAAAGTATAATACTTATGCCTATACAATTAATCCATTATATTATACAAATGAAATGTATTACTCACTTATATGTACCAAATGATGTTTTGTGATGTGTTTGCAAATGTATAATAAATATGTTACATTCTTTAATGTCCTATTTCATGTATGAAATTATCAATAACGCATCAATAAAAGATATAAATCTTAGGATGCAATATGCAATATTTTATATCAATTTTTCATATTAACTGTATCATTTCATAAAAAACTATTCAGAATAATTACAATATCTATGCACATTGTGTGGTTTCTTAGATTAACAAGTAGATATAATTATGTACTACCCGAGACAAATACATTCATAATAATGTAGATACAAAAAATATATTCTATTGCAAGATTTATTTTACATAAAACATGAAAGGCCAATTTACTAATAAAAAAAATACAAACATCTTTAGTTTTAACTATTACAGGTTGTATAAATCTTAGACCATAACAGTTTGACTTGCGGAATTATTTTGTACATTCTTCATTTTATATACGACATCAAAATAATTTATAGTGTACAAGAAAAACAATGAACAGTGACAATACAACTGTTTTCAATTATATACGCATTACAAATTAACAGTCACATTATTGCAGTGACTGTAAAAATAACAAAACATGTTTCGTACGCAACATACATTCAGTGTATAAAAGAGGCCAGCGTACATTACATACGGTGGCTACAACTTTTATAAGTTCACAAATATAATGTAATGAAAATTAAATTTGTCTTTAGCTTCTTTATAATAAAAAATTTGTATTTTGTGCAAATGAGGCACAGAAGATATAATTTTATTCTATATCTGGAAATTTTAAGCAAATAAACACTTTTTTAATTTAACAAAATAAATGTACCGTTAAGATAAAATGATTTCGTCGCTTAAAAAATTTCGTAGTACATTAAAATAGTTGGTTATGTTACGCAAATGTATATAAAGACAAATAATTACTAAATCATCAAACAATGAATACAACAATTTGAATAAGATATTGCTTAAAATTTCCATAAGTACTTAACGAAAAGATGAACAGCCGTCTCATGGTTGTACCATGTAAGATGCATTGAAAGGTGTTAGGAACATAATTTTAATTGCTAGCGTCTCTTAACCGGCCATAGTTGTTCTACAGGAGAGGCAGTCAAAACATTAACTCTAAAAAATAATGTAATTAAGTCACATATTGATTATCACTTACAAATTAACTGTCCTGTTGATAGTTACAGACTGATTCTGTACCACTTTCCCTTCGAATGAACTGTTACTTGCTCTTCTCGGCCATCCACTTCCCTTAACTTGAGTTGTTGCCATCGCCATTTTTCTCCGTATCACGCTCCACAAACTGAACACACTAATGTCTACCCGCGCAATCGACTACTTCGTGCCTTCTCGAATATCCCGAACTTGTTTCGCGGGCCAAACAGTGTTGCCAGATGAACAAACTTTAGCACTCTCTTATGTTCTTTAGCTTAAAATATCGTTGAAATAAAATATTTTTATTATGTGAAGTTTGTCTATAAAAACTAATTTATTTAAAAAAACAATATCATGAATAAAACCTTTTACAATTAAACACATTATATAATTACATGGAATTTCACTACATATCTATTTTTGTTAAATACATATGAAGAATGATACTTTAAAGTTGCAAGATTTACGAATTTTTATTTCAAATCTTTGTCATATATTACATCTCAAATATTTTTGTAGAAATATAAAAATTACAATATTATATTGTAATATAACGAAATATTGAATTTTGTTGTAGTATTGGCAACAATGAATAACACGTCTGCGGGGTTTCCACAACCAATCACACGGAAAACGACAGCCATTCCAGAATTCGCTAACGGGAGGAAGCGTTTGGCGTTCATTGGGAAAGAAAATCCCTTTCTTGTCGCGGTTAAATTTGTTCACGGCGTCTATAATCAGCATTCTCCTTATGAGATCTGCCGTTTTTGCATAGTAAGTTCGGTGAGTCAAATATTCTGGTGTGCTTCTCAAATATTTCGACCAGCATTTTTAAGTCGTGAAAATGGCGAATGGGTAATGCCACAACGTAAAAAGAGTTCTTCCTCTTGTCTTAAAAGTTCGCCGTTGGCTTTGAAACGCAGTTTCATCGTGCATGAAGCCTATTAATTCGTGCACTTTTCTATAATTTTTTCGTATTCAGTATCGTTAAGAAAATTTTCTTTGCTGTAAACTTGTTTTGTGCTTCGAAAAGTGTGGGGTGTTGTCGAAGTTTAATAATTTTTCCTTATATCGAGTATAACAACACTTTCGTGAAACATTCATATCGAGTATATTGACGTGTGGGGTTTGTTCGATAAATTGAACAATTTACATTGTTCGATTTTATTTGTTTAATTAGATCAAAATACTTACCGTGTATCGATTGATAAAATGAAACTCGAAGTATAAACTATAGTGACATAATTACTCGTATGCATTAATTTCGTATAATTTTATTGAGCCTTGTTCGTAATACATGCACTTCTTTCATGTGTTTTAATTCAGTCATGCGATTACGAAACGATAAATTTAAGTATATGTAGATTTGTTACTATATTAATTCTGTGAGTCAAAATTATATAATGTTAGAATTCAACAATAATTTACGTAAAGTACGAGGAGTGAGATTAACAATTCTTAAATCAAGAAGCAACACACTTCAAATACATTATAATGATTTAAATTATATTGTAGTTATTGAAATTAAAACTTCATACTTATTTTATAGTTACAGTTTCTGATTGTTATAAGAGGTTATAGGTACAGTATGGAAAAAATGGTGTGTGTTGCAGGATCTTAGGCAACTGAGTGTGTGTTAGGTGTCAAGATCAGGTATCAGCATCATCAGTGGACTTTAGTACAATGACATGGTGCAGTTGACTCCTTTTCCACTTCTCCATTTTGTTATCCTTCGCTGATGGACTGTTTGCTGCTTGGTCGTCTTTATTCTCATCGACTTCTTATCTTTCATCGTACATTTTAACTGAGGGTGAAGAAGGAAGAGATTTCTCAAGTGTCTAAAGCTGAAGGTAATGCTTCATAAGTAATGTAATAAAATCTAGCTCATAATCGTGGAGGGAAGTGTTGTGATTTTACTACAGGCTCATTTTGTTCTTCATTATCTTGGAATGTTCCAAGATGGTCATTGAGAGCTAAGCACCATTTCACATTTATATTCCATGCAAAATATTTTTTTTTTGTTTTCATTATACATTCATGCTATCTAATGAGAAATGGTAAGTAGTTAATAACAGTGAGAGTAATAAAGAGACCAAAAGTAAATTATTGTTTAGAAATGGAGAACATTTTACATATTTGCATGACTACCTCATATGTTCTTCATTTTTTAAGAATATTGATCTTCACATATATCCTGACATTACAAACTTACCTTAATAAAATTTGAAAGCTGATACTTTTTTGTGAGGTATGCATATCATGAACTTGAATAATACTGAATTAAATACATGAATAAATTTAGACAAACAATTTTTGAAAAAGAAAAAAGAAAAAATGAACTTTTGAAGAGTAATCTTCCTCATACAAGCTCAATGTTAAAGTTAAAAATTTTTAACTAATACAAAGGATCATAATCATGGATTCTGCTCATGTTGCATTAATTGAACTTTAAATATACATTTGTAATTTTTAAAACATAATCAAATTTTTTTTTTTGTTAAATCTTTGTTTCACTATACACATTTGTATATCTTGAAATATTTAAAAATGCAGCAACTATGATTATTTGATTCATTTATTATGCATGAAATGAAGGTAAGTTTATTTACAACTAGAAAGACTTTGCATAAATAAAATTTCGATATATTTAGTAAAGTCCAAATTAAATATTCTTTATATCATTATAAACATCCACATAATAATTTATTCTTCATCTAAAAAACAATTCTGCAATTTTATATCTACCAAAACATTTACCCAGTTACTAAAAGAATCCTTGATATGTAGGAAATGATAGATTTTTAATACAATTATTTAGTTTCAATAGATAAACTAAGTTCTAATATTTATTTTACATTACCACAAAATGAAATAATCGAAACCTTGATCTAGTTAAAATATATAAAACAGAAATCGCGGGAAAAGATCGTTCAGATATAGATCGTAGATTTTACATAGTATTCCGATGAATGAGCTAAGAGGAATGAAAGAACAGCTGGAGTGGGATATCTGCTGCATTTCTCTCCCCCGATTCTTCTTTGCTGTGAAGTGCATTTCTTTTGCAAGGTCCTTGAGAGCTGGGAGTCATCGCCTTCTCATTCAAGTGCATTTCTGTTGCATGTTCTGCGTGGACACAGTGGTCATCGAATTATACTCAGTTCTTCCTGTCGTGTACTTTATACATTGCACTGGTTCATGAAGTGCAATCTTTTTCGTCGGTTTCGAAAGCACGTAATATACATTGAACGAGAAGTGCAATAATAATAACTTAATCACTATTTAGCACCGTGGTATTACTAAATTTTACAATTATAATACGGTACTTGTTCCTACACATTTCGTAATAAGCTAAACTGCATACGTTAATCGTAAAACAACCGTAAAACGTACTTTTATAAAACCTAAAATCTTTAAACTTTGAACTTAAAAAATACGAAGAATTATTCGTGGACTAGCTATAGTCACGATTCACGGTAACATTTTTATATATTGTTTAACTATCATTAACATGATCGTTTCACTACGTCGTACAAAATGTTAATACTGGTGCTGAGCGACGAGAAAACGCATGGATCGAACGTATACAACATGGACGATGGCAATCTGCTATTAACCTTCTGCCTACACAACATTACACTGTGTTACTGACAATGCATATCAGATCGTGCACACAACACGAGAGAGAATGTACTACTGTTTGTGTCGTTTGGGCTTTACGTTTAGTCAATATTTCTGATAGTTACGCTAATTTTGTTTCATTTACGAAGAAACTGTTCTTTAGTGCGTTTATTTAACGCCACGACATTTAAAAATCGCGCGCTATTCGAAACTTCTTTTCGTTTATAAATATATATGCGTACAACTTCTTTTTTAACTTAATTCTGAGTACTCTTGAATCTTCGACGAATTTATTATTGCGTTAAGAAAGGTGAGTGCAAAAACAGTTTCGAACTTCTGACAAGAGACGATAATAGAAATTTGGGTAGACGAGAGACGGAGAGAGCGAGGGAGAAAGATAAACACAAGTGTGTAGTGTTTTGGTCGCCATGAATGCTTGTAAATTGATACAGCTACAGGTTCAGATTTGGTCGCATAAAAGCCTGGTGAATGGTGAACCGAATCTCGTCGTCTCGTTGGATCTCTACTCGTGTCCGTGGTTTCGACCTGTCTTTTGTGCTCGAGCTGAACGGTGCAGCCAAACTTTGAATCACGGCAACTTCAGACCGATACATCGACCTCCTATCCCCTCCTCCTGCTTCCGTATATCTTGACACAGGAAAAAAAAGAAGAAAAAATAGAAAAAAAAGAAAGTGTGTGTTACCTATTCACAGAAACAGAAGGTGAAATAATTTTAATAAGATAGCTAAAATTTAAGAAAAGAAACTTACGTTTTAACACCGAAATATTATAATTCGCGAAAGAACTTGGTCGGAAAATTCAACAGTACTTAAAGTGTATAGCTGAAGAAGAACTGTCTACATTTCGTGCATAGGTTTATGTTCATTTGTCCAAGGTCCTTGTTCTCTTTACGAGTAAAACAGGTTTTGAAATGAGAACGCTCCCCACGAGGAATCACCCTTAAAACTCGACCAAAGATTTACGTTCCTTTCATCCGAATGGACTACGTTTATGTTGTTCGTTTTTTTTCTCTTGACGCGTTTGCGTTGCATAATACGGGGAGAGTCGCGCACTGATTCACCGAAACTTCGACCACTCGGTATATGCTTTTCAACGTATTGATTAACGCGTTAGAGAAATCTCCGAACGATTATCATCATCGAATTTCCAACGTGCGTACTCGAAGGTGTCTGCTCCCGACGGAAGCTTGATCTACGCGTCGCAGTTTCACGAACAAAAAAAAAATTCAGAGAAAACAAACGTCTGAAACGTGATTCGCTGTCCCTCTTGGAATCTTGTTCTCTCAAGACACATCATGGACGCGCAACGCTGTTGGATGCAACCAGAAGAAACATACCCTCGTCGTCGTGTTACTTTCCATCGATCTGTATGATATCGATAACTGATCTCGCGAGGTATCGAACGTTCAACGTCGATCGTCGTTCATATTGATGCTGGTAGATGCTTAAATATTATATTACAGAGCATTTTTTGAGTGAAGAATTCTTAACAGAAATTGCAGTATATATTATAATATGCATGTTTGATTAACTTCAGATTAATTTGATTCAGGTTAAAACACTCGAAATTGTTGGCATAGTAAAAAAATGCAATTTACGTGAAACTTTCATCCGCAAACTGTACTGTATTTTAATAACAGTTTCGATGGACTTGCTTCGCTATAATTTACAAATTTCGCCCTGGATCTGGTACTTCAGGTTTATCTTTGAATCTAACGCGGTTTAAGCCTGCATAGACATTCTCGATTCCCTGAGAACCCTGTATTCTATTATTAGACCACTTCATCCTGCAATATGATCGCACTGCCGCTATAATGTTACAAACTCACCGTACTACTATTTACCATTTTCGCAACTCGAACGTAACAAGTCTCGAAACTGTAGGCGAATTGTGAGCTCTGGAAATATTGACACGGTTAAGCATCACGTTCAACGAACATTTCACGTCTGCGCCATCAGATTGAATCTACCCGACGGTCGACGTGTCCTATTTTTAGATCGCTCTCTCTCATGAATTTCTGTAAACGCGTGGTTTGCGGTGGATTAGGGGTGCCGCAGAAATTCTCGACTCATTTATTTCAACAATTACAACTGAAGGTCATTGTCACGCTGAACGAAATGAACAATGGTATTGTCGCGATTTGATCACAACCTTCGTTCACGTTTATTAATATGGATAACGATTATTTTCACCGTGGGAGAACGCTGATTCACGTTCAACATATGCAACGATTCGAGGCGATAAATTATTCTTCCCGAGTCGTACGAATTTTTTTTTTTTATTGTTCGAAATGAATCTTCGACTAATGAGATGCTTTATGAATGAGAAAATTACCTCCCGTGGGCTTTACGACACGTTTTAACGATCTTTCTCAATCTATAATTGATCGCACTGGAAGTTATATATCGTTCTATAAATCATTTCGAATTTATGTTAACGAACGATGTTTGAATTGACACTTCCTTGCAAATACATCTACTCTGCTTTGTTCTTATTTTAATTTATGACTCGTACGATGAACGTTTGATCTTTAGTTCAGTTTGAAGCTTTTTTAACAGCCTAATCTGAGTTATCCTAGCGTTTACAAAAGAATATTAATCGATAAAAAGAGTGTACGTTTATTTGCTGCTCGGATGGGTGCGTTTACGAATTCATCATCGTTTTAGCCGTCGGAAGATCGTTGCGCGTGAAATCCGTTAAAACAATAAATGCTTCTGGTACACACGTGCTTGGAACTTTCGATACTCTACAAATGGAACGTCTGAATTTTATATCGCTCTATAAACAACGACTGGTCTGCGAAAGAAAAGAAAAAAAAGCAGAAAATCTCCGTTCGTTGTTCCATCAACGATCGACGTGATTAAAAATAATTCCTTTAGAGGCAGAATTTTTTATTTATTTTTCTTAGATCATTTCGGCTTCAATTTTTACTCGAAGAGCAATTTTCAATTTATTTTCACTCGATTTTTTCTAACTTTCTGTAGTTATACTCACCATTTTCTTATTCCACGAAATAATCAGTATATTCGCTTCGGATTCGTTAAAAAAGCAGGGGAAAAATCGATTAAAAGTGTAAAAGAGAATTCCACTGAAATTTTATAGCCTAAAAAACGACGTCGAAAGGGAAACCTGCTTTTACTTTCAATGAAATACGGCAAGTCACAGGTTTCTAATTGCAATTCAACTAGTTGCGACGTTCTGAGATCGACGTTAACACGCTTACAAGCGGCGTAAAATGCTTTTACTGCTCGATGGCGATCTTTTATTCATCAGACAGGTAGAATCGTCGTCGTCGGACGTTTATTATTCATACTTTAATCGATCCACGGAGAAAGTCCCGCGGTATCTAAATCGTTGCATCAGCAACGATAACGAGACAAGAAACAAAGTACCTGGAACGATGTTGCGATCGAGGTTGTGCGCAATTATACCATCCTCGTGTCGGCGTTAGAAACGATTCTCGGTTTCCGGAATGAATTACTTGGATCTGGGACACCGAACGCGACTACGAGACAACGTATGCCCTAAAAATAAAAGGAACGATGAAATATACAATGGGATTTTACACATTTCACTATTTCCACAAGAAATTTTATGCGTGAAAATAAAGAGGAAAGTTATCCGATGGATCATGGGTAATCTATTTTAAGTCCACAAAAGATGGCGAATTTAAGATCGATCAATAAGGAAGATGAAACCTGTGTTGACGTCATATTATATTACTTTTTAGACGAATAAGGATATTTTAAGTCAGTTTTTCTTTCTTTTTTCGATAATTTATAGTATTCTGTTAGAATTGCTATTGAAAAATATTTATTATGTGAATAATGGGAAATTATTGATATTTATACAGAACGTTGAAAATGACGAAGTTATTTTATGATTTCGTAAGAAAAAAAAGGTGAATGGATTATTCTTTAATAATACAAAATTGTTTGTTCGACCTCAGAAGTATGCATTTTACACAGTTCCCAACCATTACACTCCGACCGTGCAAAAAATAATTAAAACTCTCGTTTAATTGGTCGATTTAAGTTCCATTAAGGTAATCGGAAGTAAGGGTGTGTGATCTTAAAGCGAAAATCTCGTTGTTCTTTACTGGCTGAACAATAGAGTGGAGGCAGAGATACGATCGATGAAACCTTCGAGGTTTTCCGTGTGCCGCTCGAAAGCTTACGAGATTTCTGTCGTGTGTGTTCCATCGTACTGGTCCTGTTACGCTTCCTCGTATTCTTGGAAACGAGATTCGTCTTCTTACGAACGCTTCGCTGTATGAAAAACGGACGATCTCGGTTTCTCGTTCTTGGAAATTAATATTCCATACGTCTAAACAAAAACATGCAGTTTCCGTTCACTCTTAACCCCGAGTTCGTCTGACGAAAAAAGCTCGACGCCATAATTTTCAATCCGGTTATTTCTACAATTGTAAAAAGTAACACGTCAAATCGGAAAGGTTCAATTTGCCTCGTCATATCAACTTTAAATTTCCCCTTATCCTCAGTTCCATCGAACGAGATTTCAGTGGTTTTCCAGGGACTATAAAATAATAATGCAAACGAAAAATAAAAGAATTCTAAATTCTGGAAATATAAAAATTCTGCCAGACTCTAACCGTAGGGTTAAGGAAGAATTTAATGTTCGTTAATTTTAAACTTAATCTTACTCTTTAGTACTAATAAGAAGAGCAGTGAACAAGTAAAAATTAATCCAAAGAAACGAAATTACACGTCAATATAAAAAATACTGTATATACCGTAAAATGAAAAATTGCAGCATTTAAATGTATATTACACAAAAAACAGAAGAAAATAATAAAGAAGTGAAAAAACTGTAGTGTTTCAATTTTATTATCTCCAATCATCCAATCTTCATACAATAAATAAATAAATGAAAAAAAGAAAACGTTCGTTCGCCATTTTCGTCTCCAGGAGTCTCTTTCCATCTTCGTTTAATTCGAACCCTTCGGCTCGGTTGCAGATCCTTCGAATAACAGTCGAAAATGAGCGTGATAATCAGACTACAGAACTTGGCATGGTCCGCCAACGCTCTGGACATTCGCCAATTTTTCAGAGGCTTGAGCATACCGGAAGGAGGAGTGCACATTGTCGGCGGCGAGCTTGGAGACGCGTTTATCGCTTTCAGGTAACGATACGAATGACTACTAAATAGAAGAAAACTTCCTCTACGTGCTTCGTCTTCTTCGTTCCTCTCTCTCTTTTTTTTTTTCGTTTCTCTGTTTTTTCCCCTTTTCTGCGTGTGAAAGTTCGTTGCTCTGCGCTTGAACGCAACAGGTGGTTGCCGCTGTAACTGTGCATTTGAACTTCGTACGAAATATTCTACAGTGAAAAGCGTTCGAATATATTGAGTTGTTTTGTATTTAGAATACTTTTCGATGACTGTATTTTGTTTCTTGCAAATTGAAATTTTTCAGTTATTAATCAACGATAGAGTGTTTAGATAAATAAGAATCGTTGAAAAAACTCTTGTCTAGAGTGGCTGTTTCACTACTACAACGTACTTAACCTGCTTCGGCAGATTCGTGGACCATATGTCATCAAAATGTTTTCATTTGTGCGATTTTTTATTTCATTTTCATTTTTCTCTTTGTACCTGTCTATGTTTCGTCTTCTCTCAATCTATGTTGTTTTGGACAAATGAAAATATCCATGGAAATAATTAAATAAATAAATAAATCATAATTGTCGTGTCCATAGAAATAAAGAAAATTCTAAACGATGGAATGCTTCAGAAATAATCGACAGATTAAAAAAAATGAATATAAAAATTCAGCTACATCAACAAGGTTAGCACAATCCGTGCCACGTTGAAAAGAAGTTAAAAAGTCAGGTTGAAATATTCAATCTTTGCACATTACACGAGCATAGAGTCGAAAAATATTCCCTTTCAATTAATAAAAATTCCCTTTCCCAAAACTGTCGTACACCGTCGATGTTACACACGACACGAAACGTTAAAAAAAAAAAAAATTTCTAACACCCTCGAAACCTAACCTAACCTAACCTTTATACGAACGATATTCCATGCGACTTGCAGCACCGACGAGGACGCCCGGCAAGCGATGATGCACGATGGCGGCAAGATCAAGGAGATGAAGATCAAGTTGCTGTTGAGCTCACGCACGGAGATGCAAAAAGTGATCGAGGCAGCGAGGCAGCAGACTCTGAGCCTGCAATCGTTCATGCAGACAGCGCCAGTTGCTGTACAGGCAGTCGTTCCAAAGCCAGGATCGCCGAGCGATCGTCGAGAGAAGGAAAAGGACAACGACAGTGAATCCAGCAAGGATCGGAAAGACAGGCGGGATAGATCGCGATCCAGGGATAGATCTCGATCCCGTGATCGCGACAGGGATCGAGACAGGCGTGACAGAGACAGAGGTCGAGATCGTAGGCGTCGAGACAGAAGTAGATCACGAGATAGAGAACGAGACAGGAGGGACAGACGTCGTCGACGCGATCGATCCAGGTCTAGAGACCGTACTCGATCCAGAGACAGAGATACTAAACGTAATTCCACTGGAGAACGTCGAAAAGAATCCAATGACGACGATAATAACGACGTTGTCTGTGTTGGACAGTTTCATAAAGACAAACCTGTAGCAGGTGCGAAGAAACCATTGGAAAATGGGATCTGGGAGGTTCCCCCGCAAACACAAATGCAGGCCGCCGCAATGTTGGCACCTGGTATTTTGGGCGCTGGTGTAGCTGCACTGTCACAAGATGGCGAGTCACGGTCTATGACGTTTAGCAGTTCTGTTATTGGCCAGCAATCGATGCTACAGCAAAATCAGTTTCCTATCAATGGGATCAATGGTGTTGGTGGACTGATGCAGTCGCATATTCAGACACTTGGACACACTGTAGGCATCAGTTCTTTGTCTCAGAACGTGGGAACTCCTAGTCTGCCTAGTTTGACCACAGGAGTGAGTACACTGAATAGACCTAAGGAACCTTGGAATCAGAGTGAGCAGGGTAGGATGGACCAGGTTAGGTTCCCTGGTAGATCTGGTCAGTTTGCAGCAGAGATGTATGGCTCGAATGGTTCTATAAATTATAGGCCTGGTATCAGACCAAATAATCCTTTCCTGAGTAAAGTGCAAGAATTGGAAGGTCGCCGAAACCCACACGCCTTCCAGGCGAACAATTCTCAGTTCAACTTTGAGAACGACAGACAAGGGAATCGTAGTTCAACAAATAATTCCTCTAGATTCTCTGGAGAGGGCAAAAGCAATGATGGAGGTAGTGGTCATTGCGTAGAAGTTCGTAACATGCCACTAAGTACTACTTATAATGATGTTCGTAACGCGTTTCAGGGTATATATATAAGGAAAGACGGATTGAAACTGATCAATGATAATCATGGAAACAGAGTTGGTATTGCTTATGTTAAATTCAGTAAGGCTGAAGGTAAAGAACTCGCTCTAAGTACACCGAGATACGTCAGAAGATCGGAGGTAGAAGTTCTGCATCTTGATGAAAGTCTATTCGACAAAGCAGTGGACTCTTACTCTCCTGAGAAAGAGAGAGACCGTGGAGAAGATGGAATCGACGATGTCAGATCCTCCACATGTATTCTACTGACAGATCTACCGTCTTTCACCAAAGAAATGGACATCGCGAAGCTCTTCCACGACTGGAAGATCAATGACCTGTTCATCACCAGTACCAAGGAATCGGGAAACGTTCTATGCATGGCCTACGTGCAATTCGCCAGAATAGAAGATGCAAAGGCATCCGTTAATGCATCCTTAAAAATAGGCAATAAACCTGTGACAGCCACAGCGATTACCGAAGAAAAGTTTGCTCAATCAAAGAGAGACCATGAACAAAATAGCATGAACCAAACAGCCACCTCAGACTGCGTCATAATGCGGGGTCTTCCCTTTCAAACAATCGACCGTGATATCCTAGATTTCTTTTCAGACATAGGAATAGTACCCCATAGAATACACATGTTGCTCAATCAAAATGGCAAACCCGCTGGCGAATGTTTCTGCGAGTTCGACACAGCGGAAGAAGCTCTTAGAGCCACAGCAAAGAATGGTTTACCCTTTGGGAAGAATGTGCCCACCATAGAACTGGTTCCAAGAGCAAAGATGTTAGAAACATTGGGAATGGTTGATCCACAGATCATGGAGACACAACAGCAACACTTTCCACCACTTCAAGAAGCCCGACCAAGATTCTCAGGACCTATGAATCACCTACCCCGTTTTGGGAATTCTGGATTTGGTCCAAGATGTCCTCCAGGTTTAATGGGAATACCCAGACACATGTTAGGTCGACATCCAGGCTCCATGGATTATGTAGAAGGCTTTGGTAAACCTGGTTGTGTTTTATCCTTGGAGAACGTTCCCTTCAAGGCTGATATTAATGAAATTATAGAATTCTTTGGCGACTTCGATGTAAAGAGAGAAAATGTGATAAGGCGGTACAATGAGAGGGGTATGCCCACTGGTGACGCTAGAGTAGCATTCGCGTCACCCAGTGAAGCGCAGCGAGCCTTGAGAGAGTTGAAACATTGCAAAATGAGGGACCGTACGATATACATGAAACTCGCGTGAATACCAACACAGGAAACTGTCAGGTTACAATTTACAGAGGAGCATGAGGAAGTTGATCCTAAATCGATCTCGGGATGGTTGAGGAGATGAGTCCTGTATGATCGATGGATCTTCTGTATTCTGTGTGGGAACAAAATAAATATGTCGTAAAGATTCAGAATGTGAAGGAGTTGATGCGTGAGTTTCAAAGAAAGAATGGTGTATTATACTGATTCAAGAATCATTCAGAGATGTTTTTCATGGATTTGCAACCTTTACTTCCTTGTTCTTCAGTTTTTGTAAATAGGACACTGTGGTTTTTGTAAAAACGATGTTTCTTTAACGGCTTGACCGTCGTTGTTTTTTATTGACACGGTTTCAAGGAAATTTAGTCTTCTGGCGCGAAGACTGTTCTTGCTAATGGAATACGATGATTAATTGTAGACGTTTGAAATGACTGAGAAAGCTAGCAAACAGTACAAGCAGGAAATTTCCGTTTCTCTTGTTTTTTTTGGTTAGGCTTATAGGTTAGTTTCTAGCGCATCGACTGTTTAGTTTCCTTTTTTTACTGTATTAAAGCCGGGATAGTAGTTATTTTATATCCCATCAAGTGAAAACAACGTTGTTGTATTCGCATATCCATGAGATAAGAATTCAAATTTGTAAATATAACGTAAGTTGTCATCGATTCTACGAATCTATCACGTTATGTTACTTTTCGTCGACACGTGACATTCATATACCTATTACACATTGCTTTCGTTCACCTAATTATCTAGATGTTTAAAAACAAAGCGCAATAAAGAGTACAATAAAAGACTTCGATAGGATATCGAGCAATTTTTATCTTTTAATTCGATCATAGAATAATCTTACTTATGTATTGAATTTCAATCACTTGTGAATTTTGTAACATAAGCGTATGCAGTACAGAATTATACAAAAAGTACAAAGTTCGAGTATCAAAATGAATTTTTTCTGTACACAATTTAAGAAACACCCGAGTTATTAAATACACATCGTATTTTCTACAAACAATTATGTATGTACATTTATATATACCGCATCAAACCGGTTTGTATATAGACTATATATACATAGACGTACAATAATACATTATAAATTCACATAGATGTAAAATATTTATACGGTGAATTTATTGATCAGACATAGGTGTACTTAAATTGTTCAGTTTGTCGCATGTTTCTGTTCAATATAAGCACTTTAAGACTTCAATAAATTTATATTTACAGCGATAACGCGGTTGTTTAAACTATACCCCTCTTTACTTTTTCTTTATTTGCAATAAAATGATAAAGAAATATAACATGTTTTTAAAACGCTTTGTAAATGGCTTCGAGATCGTAACATTTGATAAAAAGAAACTCTAAAGTTTTAGAATTCCATATATGTAGAGAACTCCCGATATCCCAGGACGTGATATAGAAAATATTCAAAGATATAGAAACCGATATAAAACAATTTAATAAAAAAATCGATATGAAATAAATAAGCAATTTTATTTCAATTAGCTTATTTAAATTATATAGCTACACATATCTCTTGATATGCACGTACGCACAGCACTGGCGCACCGTAAATCATGGAAGCACTAAATCTGACCAGTGACTGTTATCTAGCAAATTTCCCTGTAACATTTATCCACGGTACACTAGAATACATTCACTAAATTTTTCAGAAGACAGATTGAACCGAGATTAGTTCGTGGATTAGTCAATTCTTAAGTGGTAGTAAGTGCACTTAGTTGTAAATTCCGTTCGAAAGCTCTTGCAACGTCGGTGCTAATGGAATCAATGTCTCATAGATGTCGCATCAAGAGCATAGAGAAACCAACTGCACTTATCGAGTAGCGGATCATCGATTTTTGATCGCAAGGAGTGGGTATGATCCCACGAGGTTATTCGTGCTAAATGTGCTGTGGCAAATCAGTGCTGCCTAAATATTGAGTCACAGGCTATTTCTGTATCCGTTCTCCGCGCCTAAGCTCGTAACGCGAAGCATACACGTGTCGCGTGCGTTCAGCTCGAAAGGTTTCGCGTGCGAGTACCTAGGGCATAAATGATTCGTATGCTCTGAGAACGTGACAACACCACTAACGAATCGGACAATACCTGATCACGATGAAAGGTTTAAGCGTGCAATGAAAATAGGGGACAGTTGACTCCTAAGCTCCTTTACTTAATTGATATCTTTGATCTCGCTTCTTCAATCGTTTATCAAATACAATTGAAGAGGCATTTGACGTTTCAAAATTATTTTTTCAATAATAAATTTTTTCATTACAAAGGAGCATTGATTTTTTCATCGATCAGTGTTAATCTCAAAAAGTCATTTGTTACATTTGAAGTATTCTCTACAATAACGTATCGTATGCTGTAATCGTCAATTTGCATTTTCGATTAGAGTTCCATAATGCTTTTACTATGAAATCTTCTTCATGTAATCTATCAACTGTCAGTTCATGGAATATGCTTTGACAAAGCACGTTTGTGCTTCTTGTAATGTTCTAAAAATGAAAACCTCGTATCTTCCATTAAGATCATTTTTTCGCAATTACATGTGCATTACCAAGGTAATACCGACAAACAGCGCTTTGAGAAACGTTTATCGGTCGAGTTAGTTGGAATCGATCCTGCTTTGGGATTTTTATCACGTGCACGCTACTGGCTCGTCCTGCAAAAGGTACATATGTACGTACGATCTAAGTATCTTTACGTAACGTCGATTTGATGTCAATCACGATTTCATGGTGCGGCGCTTGACGGTGTTATATCAGAAGGTTGTAGAGGTCACAAATATGACTCTTGCTACGCAAAAAGTTTCAAGATGTAACAATATCTTTTTCTTCGAAGGAAACCTTTCCTAACTTTTTTAACTATTTTCAACGTTTTACGTCACAAACATGGCAGGATGCATAATGCTAAAAACGTGCACTAAATCGTCCAGAGTTACGAGTTTACATAAACAGGAATGCAACAGACCCTGAGTTGGACTTTTGTCATTTATCGAGGTATTTATTGAACAGTTAATAGTGGTTTACCGAGTTGCGTTTCTTGGTAAAGAAGAAATTTCAGACGCTCGTGTCGCTACCGGTATGAATTTATGTTCATTGTTAAATGGTATGTTTATGTAATATGTTCCAGGATAGTTGCGCCCTTTGACGAGGGATATCATTTGTTTATCCAGTCATGTGTGAAATATTTGATCGTTTATATGACAGTGTATGCAGCTTTTTAATATTTTTTATGAGCCTGTATAGGGGTACTGTGACATAAGTAGTTTTTAAGGAAGTAGTTAGTAGTTCAATATATTAAAATAATTTTTAATTCTAATTTATTTTACATCCTTGCTGCATATATCAATAAAAATCTCTTTCGACAACATCATATATTTATTTACTCCTCTACTTTACAAACTGTTTTTCTGAAATACTCGGAAGCTGAACACTTCAATGAATGTGCATTCGAAACACACTGTTGCCAACCTTATACTCAGTATTCTATTTTCCACTTATCCAAGAATGCCCTATTAACATACAAATGGATATCTACTGCTACATAATCGAGCGTACAGAGCCCAGCCTTCGACAGTTGCAAATTAATATTAGAATCGAACAAGTGCTTGGCCCAATTAGAGGGATCATATGTAGAAAACCAACAAAGAGGCCGACGAATCAAGCTTCTCCTTCGATGTATCGACAAAGCTAACCTTTCTTCATCTCTCCACTGTCAAACTGTCCGGTAATATCAAACGTGTCAATAAGCATGATCGAAACGTTCTAATTCACCACGATTTCCGTCATAATTGCATATTCGATGGAGGAAGCCAGCCATTACCCTTGTTCGATTTGTCGTGTGTGCAGGAAGCCTAAATTTAACGTTTCCGAAACGCGCTCGACCAACGAAATCGCATTGTTCGACACGTGAATTACAACGGCAGCATTATCGTCATTTTATCCTTGGAATTGATGTATCGTCGTGATTATCGTACGCATTCGGTATTGTCAGAAATCGACCAAGTGTCTCACGGGACGACGTCAACTTTAATTTACGACGTTGAATATCACAGTATCTTTGTCGCAATGAGACACGTGTAACGACTTCGAACGTGATTCTACTCATCCACAATAAAATTGACTCACTTCTATTTTCCCTGATAAATCATATTGAGTGTGTTTTATCCTCATTACAGCACGATGCTCGTTCGTCACTAACAAGAGAGGGGATAAATGTGATTTTGTAGCAAAAGGCAGTCTGTGCACCGGTGTACCCGATAACTAGAGTCCCCCTTTGTAAAACGTTGGTTGGCTTGAGGACGTGCTGAAATAGAGGCGGCAAACAAAGAACGGAAGTCTCGTAGCCGTGACGGATGAATCTGTTCTACCTCCTAAAAACAGGCCTTTAATACGAGGCAAAAACTTTTCAGCTTTTTTAACGTGTTTATTTCCCCTTCGCTGCGAGGGTAACGAGATCTATTGCCTTACCCGAACGGGAATCGTTTAAATAGGGAACGTCTTTATCTTCTGTTTTTGTCTGAACGCAATTTTGTTTGAAACACACTTTGTCTCTCTCTGTAATATCGTATGGTACTGTTTGATTTATGAATTGAGATATTGTGACAAAACTTAATCAATGGTATTAATATATTAATTAGTAAAAAATTAATTCATCTCAATTATATTAATTGTGTTTTGCATATGTTGTGTGAAATATTTCATACAACGTGATCAAAATTTCTCGACTAAAAATTTGCAATGCAGTCATCGATTAGCCTACTTCTTTTCTCGCTTTTTTAGAATCGTCGTAAAACAATCTGACTAAGAAGCAGGAACAACGGATGCGATCATTTCCAAGAATATCTTTCAGAAAGAATTACACTTGCTTAGGATCATATTATCAAGGAAAGTACAATTGTGAACGTGTCAGCGTAATCAAACGACGATCGATAATAAAAACGCGAGTCGACAGAACAAACGTAGCCAAGTGGATTTTGCGCGGATCAACATAATTTATCGAACCGCAACGATTGCTATTTAC